GTCCGGGGATCAAATCCTGGGTCGTGAGTCGCCCGGGCCAACCAAGCCTTCCATCCCTCCGGGGTCGGTTAATTGGTACCAGACTTGTCTGGGAGGATAAAAACACTGACTTGTACATCGGCTGGCCCCCGCAAGTCATTGTATAGGCCACATCGCATTCAAACGCCACTACGAATGTACAAATGGAAGTAGAATGCGTGCCGCATCCCAAAAGGGATTGATCAACGGCAAATGCTTTATCCTTTATCCTTTATTAGTAGGCTTCATGGTGTTAAAGTCAAAAACTTTGCGGTTGACCAAAGACTCATGGTCCTGATGATATACAATCCTATTCTTCTCAACTTCAGGACTATCAGTTCTATCGCAAAATGGCAAGCTAACTGACCAGTAACTTGCTCGCGCTTACCATCTGTAAAACGAGGGTGCTCCGTTCAGGGGAATGTCCAAATATACGGTACACTTAGATAGTGGTATCCTCGATACAACCACATCACTCAAGGATTTGGGTTTCCTTACTGACTTCAAATTTTTGATGAGCACGAATGATGAGTTTCACATGGGCTAGATAGTCGCGCTTTCTATGGGTCGGTCCAATCATGAACTAGAGTTGAGAAACTGAAGCTAGCCTTTCAGCAATATCACCCTTCAGTGGGGCACAAGGCTTTCATGTTTAACGCAGAACTAGATACGTAAAAGTGAGTAAGTGTTCCAATTCCAGCTTTCTTCTCTAGATTCAAAAAGCGGTTCCTCTCTCTGAATAAGCTAAGTACTGCCTTATTGCTTGATAACTCGACATCCTCTTCTGGATTACGGTTTCATTGATTGCAACATTTTTCTTCCTCTTTGTTTGTTATGGTTTTAAAAGGTTTATTTTACACATGTAAGGAGCATGTGATAAATTGAAAATAGAATTATACGTGGTACAGCGCTATTGACGACACTCTGCGAAATAGGGACTTCCTTTGAAATGCAGAGAAACTTTTTTCAATGTGCTGAAAGCAAGGCAGAACACTCCATCAGCAGGACTATAGCCCGGTTCCGGGTTCGAACTCCTGCTGAAGCAGTTTTACCCACAACTTAGCATTCCTATAATAACTTTCACATTGTATAGTGTGGTCTAAAACAGCATCAAACGAAACAGATCAGGTAAATATAGAAAAAGGATCATTCTGGATTATGATCTGAAACGGACTAACCTGGGATAGGATTGAAAGGCGAAAGGTGACAGAGAATAGACGTTCATCAGAAAGGAAAGAGAAGTAGGAAAGGAAAGAGGAGGTCCCTACAGGTTGTTGAAAAGTCTCAAACTCCTGCGCAGGGTTGCTAATGTCTGCGATCGCGTTCATGCCTTTTGAATGGAGCGTGTAGTAAGACAAATCACAAAATGTACCTCCTTTCTGACAAGCTGTAACTGTCTAGATGATTTATTTCAAATTAAATGGACGCGAATTTGAGAGTGCGCGAAGCCTTACTTTATGAGTTTGCATGAGCTTTTTCCATAAATATTTTACCTGCGCAGAGTTGTGAGTTGTCGAGGACTCTGTGCAAAGTTGAAATTTAATTGCTGATGTTTCGGTTCTGAGAGTTTATTTTTAGAGTTGGTTAAGCTTTTTGGAATTTTGAGAATAGCATATGAAAGTAAAGGATCTTTCTCCGTCAAAAATTGGGCTACAAGTTGTTTTTATATTTTAGCTGTTATGGAGGAATCTGGTCGTCAGAGGCATTGTGACGGATATCTCACTCGGAGCCACTCCAAAACTCTATTCCTAATCCTCGCGGACTCAGATCAAAGATTTGATCACAGACCGCTCGCATGATGAGCGTGCCATTTGCCACTACACCACTCCCGCCCTCATCTAGAGTTGATTGGGTAGATATTTGGTGTCTATTCTCCACGAATCTTTTTGCAAACGCAATTTTCCTCCCTATGTCGTCGTACTTGCCACTCCAAGAACAACACAGCAAGTGTTCGTTTACATAGTACATTCCAGAATTGAGTAATTAGTTTGCTTATATGCTTACTAAAAAGTTGTAATAAATCATTTGTTACCTGCGGGTGCAGTGGGAGCACGCACAATGTGCTCCGTTTAAATGTGTCCGATGCTTCGACCTGCCCCTCGATCGGAGAGAACACGACCCCTTAGGAGAATTCTCCAACCGGTTTTCGCCGCTGTTCAAAACTTCTCTTCATGAGTGTCTGCTGGAATGTCTCAAAACAAGTCAAGAGTGCAAAAACGATTGACTTTGTGTTATCGATGGTCTCTCCAAACTTTAGATTTGCTTGATCTTCACTCGAGACTAGTTGCGATTTCTGGATTTAAATTCATATATTATTAGCACACTTAGGAACATTGTTGAATCCAAGTGATTCACCTGGTCTTTGTCCCGGTATCCTTTTAGTTAGGGTTTCGTCAATTTCCAAGTCTTTTGCCTTCAGGAATGGCGCAGCAGCCTGTTTCTGAAATCCAATCAAAAAATGTCATGGCCACCGCTACCACTACTTCTTCTAAACTCGCCGTTCTGAAAAAGTTAGTCTCGCATATATTTTGATTTTATTATATACTCCCTGCAAAAAATGTTTGTTCATGGTCAGTTCCCAGAACCATACGATGAGGAACATGTGGCGAAAAAAGTGGAGGAAACAATAAGCTTGCTCTCAGAACATGCAGATAAGGTGAGTTTTCGAGAGAGATTGTCTCATCTCCAGTAAGAAGCTTGCAAAAACGGTAAAAGGATCAAATTAGCGTAAGCATAGACAACACGTCTTCTCTTCTAAGGCACATTTCCCGATCACGAGCTCGCGTTATTTTGCTCACTGCAACATTTTCAACCCCTTCATTAACAAAAAGTAGCTCAATATTTGTATCATTCATGATAGGGTGTCTTCTTCGGAATGACTGATTTAGCAAATTTAGTAAGAACAGAACGACTGCCTGAGTTGCCCTTACCGTTCTTCAATTTGCAATACGGTTTGAACTTTGTGAATTCTTAGGAAAAGGCCGATATGTATTGCAAAATTGTATGCGTTGGATGAGAATATCGAGCCAGTTGCTGAGGCAAGAAATCTTTTGAAAATCTACAAGCTGTATCTAACACCCTGTATTTCTGACCGAATTTGGACCGGGTCGTTATTTACAAACTTTTTTATATGCCTCTTAATAACGCTATCTTGCTACAGTCCTGAATTGCATTATGTGGGAGGGGGAAGGTTTTAGAAATGTCCTGTCAAGCCATTCCACACGTGACAAATGGTTATGACGTTGAAGGGAAAGTGGAAGCTCTTGGAACCCCCTGACTTTTGCCCCGAACACCTAGAAAGAAAATGACATTTCTCCACAAGAATGCCGGGTTGTGAACAAAACTAGAACCCGCATCACTCGCTTTGTCATCTCTTCAAAAACATTTCTTTACATTCTTTGATGGAGGAAAGAATTGTCTTTCTAGCAAACATAGCACCCTACCAAATTCTAAACACGTTGCAATGTTAACCGGATGTTGCGACTGATTACGGTAAATCTACATATGTACTACATATGCATTGTATCTACTTTTTTTGCTGCCCAAGTTTGCCGCACAAAAGGCGTGGGAATCTCGGGCAGCAAAAGCAAATGTTAGTCGCGCGGTTCCTTGATACGAGAGCCCCTTTCAGGTGAACACTCACCTGTACTTCTTTTCTTGATTGCACATAAATTTGTCTACGTCACTTTCGTTTAGGTCAAAGAGCTTCCTCCGAATGCAAAGTATGGATGCTTCTGTGGCTACAGTAAAACAGAGAAAATCATGAAAATCGTGTGCATATGGAAATGATGTGCTTCTTCAAGAATCAACTTTCAAGGATTAAGAACTGATTTTGTTCCCTCTATAAAAACTGTAGCCAATTCTCTTCTGATGCACACATTCAAAAAGTACTCTTACGCTTAGATTTCTTCTTCTTCTTCTTCTCCCTAGCGTTAGTCCCGCGCAGTCGCAGGGTCCGCTGTTTTTGTCAGCCGTCGCCACATCTTCCGTCGTGGCCGCGACCTCACCTATGTAGGTCCTTAAAGGCACAATTTTTCAATGGTCAACAAAATTAAGTGTTCACAGAAAGCAGTTGTCAAGCCAGTCACAGCGTAATGTCTTGTACCAAGGAATCACTGACAATGTTGTTATGGTGATTTTAAAGTTTACACTCTCAACAACTTTTCCAAACAATTCACACAGCTGGCGCTTTCGAGCCTAGTAGAAATGGAGACTAAAGGAAAGCCCAGGATTAGACTCAGCGGTAGGAGGGACACCGCAATAAGACTGTAGGATCCGTACCTACAGAGATCGTGCCACACCCGTCGCAGAATGCGCGGTTAGGGCGCTAATCCTTACGGGCCTGCAACCATCGACCCTCGTTGCAACGCTTCCCACCCACCGCGATTGATGTGGAGATCAGCGCGCTCTCTCGAACGGCGTGCTCTCTCGCGTGTTCTGTCTTCTCTGATCGCTTTGTCTAGCACCAGATCCGATCTTACTGGAGGCCTTAGTTTTAGCACTTCCGAGACCTTCTCTTGCTTTCCCTTTCACTTTCAGTTCATTCCGCGGCCCAACCACCTCTACGATGTGCGCTTATACAACAGTTTTATCCCGAGGCTCTCTTTTGACACAACAATTTGAGATCGAATTCGAGGGGTAAAAACGGCTGATGATGAAGTTGCAGATGGCGAGCTGACTGAGAAATAAGCAAAAAAAACACGCCGATGGAACCTCTGAACAAAAACTCTTCTTCATCTCCTCTGAAATGCAGGAAGGGGTGTGTTGGAAGAAGTGCAAACCAGCTTGCTCCGCCGGTATTTCTTGCTGGCTGTAGAGCAAGAAAATGGGGCTGTAATCGCGCACGCACCAATACAAACCAAAAAGTACGATAATCAAGCGATTCAAACAAGTCAACAAACGAATAGCAGGCGAAATTCCTCGGAACGCAGAACACTTTACACGCAATTGCGCAAGAACTACACAGTCAAACACGCGATCTCCACAGCATGCAGGTGAGCGTTACTGAATATTGGGAGGAACTGAAGCGTTCAAGTCATTTTTAGCGGCTCATTGAGACTTCATGTGTTCCTGACTAGGGCCAACGCATCGTCCCCACGCCACATAGTATCGAAGTTATGGACACTGGTCCGATTGTTGTGGTCGGTGCGGTAAACGGTCCATCTCATTATGTAAACTTTTTCAAGGAGCCAATCTTGTCGTCTGCTGACCATCCCATAGTATGGCTAGAAATTAGCTCGACGGGAAATAAATAAAGTTATGAAAGTTGCAATGGTACAGAGGAACACTAGTAGCTTCGACAGACTTGATGCGACACTTGCTAACGAGAACGATGATGTGTCCAGAAAACCTCGAAAGGTGTTGATTGTGCGGTCATCTTGAGAGGAATGATCAAAGGCAGGTACTGTTTCCTTCTGGAAGTCTTGAAAAGAACGGACAAGACCAAATAGCTAAATCATGTAAAACATCGGCAATTAATATACAATTTTATCTTCGAAAAGTGACCTATTCCATCAGAAGCGCAGTACTTTTTTTGAATTCCGTGACATTGTGAAGTCCTTGAGCGGGTTTTTGAGAAATTAATTAGAACCTGTGCGCTGGAAATTAAAGCTGGATTCCTTTCTGGTATAAATTCGAAATAGCTATCTCAGCAGGTGTTTTGATAGTTTTCAGCTTATTCTTATACTACAATTTTAATTGGGTAAAGTGACGGTCAAAAGTCTGCAGAATGATTATCTGTATTCTTAGTAGGTAATTGCTATGTTAATTTTTGTGTTTGACTGAGAACATGGGGAAGATCAGCCAAGCTGACAAAAGTTTCGAATCGAGGGTAATTCACAAAGGAGTAGTGAGGGCCCAGAGCAAAGAGAATATGCAGAACCCTTCGAGTTAGTGGTTCGATGGTAAATTTTTTGGCATTAGAGTCTTTCTAGCGGAACAATTCTCGTTCGATACCCGCGTGAAGCGAACTTGTCAAATTGTTAGCGGGAGGGTACGCAAAGAAGATCACTTTAGGGTGATTTCAATGGATCGTCACTTATAAAAGAACATTGCAATCTCCCTTATCAACATACAATCTTCGCGTTGTACCTAAATTTTGTTTTTACCTGTGATTTCCCTGTAGTATCCAGGTACACAATATATACCCCCCAGAATGCTGCAAGTGCGGTCTAAGGCAGGGATAGCCGAGTGGTTAAGAGGTTAGACTCATGTCTGCACCTCTGAAAAACCGCGAGTTCGATCCCTGCCGAGGTTCTAAACCATGCCTTGCAAAAATTGCAAAAATGGTTCTAGTACCAGCGTCAGGCCCAGGTTGACAGGCCGGCTGATGAATACCCCAGTCACACCAACATGTCTAAAAGTCGCAAAAGAATCAGTGATAAAGCTAGGACGTCACCCGGAAGTGGCGCGCAGAACCCCCGCCCGAGTTCTGTGGTCAGTATGCGAGGGCTACCGAGGAGGGAACGGCCTCGGCCAAAGAAGCTAGTTCGAATAGGGACTCTGAACGTAGGATCGCTAACTGGGAAAGTCCCGAGAGGTTGCTGATCTGATGACGCGCAGGAATATCCAAGTCCTATGCCTTCAGGAGACGCGATGGAAAGGTGCTAAGGCCAGGGAAATCGGGGAAGGTGTCAAGCTCTACTACAATGGAGAAGACACCAAGCGGAACGGTGTGGCCATAGCGGTAGCGGAGTCGCTCAAGGACTATGTCTCCGCTGTGAACAGGATCAGCGATCGGATCATGGCTGTGAGGATAGACACGAAGGAGGGGTACTGGTCAATACTATCAGTGTACGCTCCGCAGACAGGATGCCCCGACAGTGAGAAAGACGAGTTCTACCTGAGCCTGGACGAAGCCATAAGAACGATTCCGGAAGGCGATTACCTGACCATAGCAGGTGATCTGAATGGCCACGTCGGCAGTGACAGGAGAGGCCGGGAAAGGGTGCACGGAGGTAGAGGGATAGGAGTGAGGAACGCCGAGGGAGAGAGGGTCCTGGACCTGGCTACGGCCCACGATCTGGCAATCTGCAGCACGTTCTTCGCGAAAAGGGAGACTCACAAGGTCACCTACAGCAGTGGAGGACGACAAACGAAATCGACCATGTGCTGGTAAAAAGATCATCCCTCAGAACTGTGAAGGACGTCAAGGTACTCCCGGCGAGGGCTTCCCAGCAAGCCAAGCCACTGGCAGACATAGCCATGGAGCTCCCCAAGAAGACAAAGGTAAGAACCGAGAGGAGAATCCGGTGGTGGAAGTTGCACCGTGCAGAGAAGAGCGACCTCAAGCGAAGGATAATGGGAAGTTGGTCTCCCAGATCCTGAGGGACCAGTGCAGCAGACTTGGGGCACTGCAGCTGAGATCATCCTACGATGCGCCAAGGAGGTACTGGGAGAGACGCGAGGTGGATTCAGAGGAGACAAGGCAGCGTGGCGTGGTTCTGGAACGAGGAGGTCCAGCGAGTCGTGAAGCAGAAGAAAGAACACGGAGATGGACGCCTTGTACGAGAAGTTGGAAAGCAGAAACGCAGAGAAGTTCGTCTTCAGACTGGCCAAAGCCCGGCATCGGGCTACTCAAGATATCAGGGTGGTGAAGAGCGTGAAGAGCAACAACGGCGCCATACTGAGGAAGCCAGCCCAAGTTCGGAGGAGGTGGGAAGAGTACTTCAGAGGTCTTCTGAACGAGGAGTTCTCCCACGAGAACAACTCACGGGCAGAGGCCACAGCTGGTCCCATCGCACTCTGGACAGAGGATGAGGTTCGGCGTGCACTTGGGAAGATGAAGGTTGGAAAGGCAGTTGGTCCAGATGGAGTACCCATAGAGGCTTGGAAGGCCCTGGGAGAGCACGGGGTGAGGTGGCTCACCCGCTTCCTGAATACGGTGACTGCCGAAGGAAGGATGCCGGATGCCTGGAGAACAAGCACTATCGTCCCCATCTTCAAGCAGAAGGGTGACGCGATGGACTGCTCCAACTACCGCGGCATCAAGTTGACTGCGCATACCATGAAGCTGTACGAGCGACTGGTCGACTCGAAACTGCGGGAGCTGGTCCGATCTCTCCCAGGAACAGTTCGGGTTCATGCCCGAAAGGTCTACAACGGATGCCATCTTCATCGCTAGGCAAGTGATGGAGAAGTATCGCGAAAAGTGCAGGCCTTGCTACCTAGCCTTCCTCGACCTGGAAAAGGCGTTCGACCGGCTACCGCGAGCAGTGCTATGGAGGTCGCTTAGGGAACGAAACGTGCCAGAACACCTCATCTCTCTGGTGAGGGATATGTACGAAGGAGCCAAGGCAGCTATACGCACCCCATACGGCCTAACGAAGGAGGTGGACATCACGGTCGGGGTGCACCAAGGGTCAGCTCTGAGCCCGTTCCTCTTCCTCCTAACACTAGATGTCATGGTGAAGGGGCTCATAGAAGGACCACTAAAGACCATCCTCTACGCTGACGACATCGCCCTGATAGCTGATAGCAGAGAAGAACTACAGGCCAAGGTGCAGAAGTGGCAGAAGGTCCTGGCAGAAGGGGGGCTACGGCTGAATGTCAAGAAGACCAAGTTCCTGAGCTCCGAAGAGGGTGCAGAGCCGATCGTGGACGGCCATGGTGAGACCATCGAAAGAGTGGAGGACTTCCGCTACCTTGGGAGTGATCTGGCAGCCGACGGTAGTGTGGATCAGGCGGTGAAGGCTCGGGTAACACTGGAATCTGCGATCGAAGGTGCTCCAGAGCGCTCAAAGGGAAGGTGTACCGGAACAGTGGTAAGGCCTGCGATGCTATACGGCAGC